ACAGTGGCGGTTCATTCGTGAAACTCTTTCCTTGGACAGCGTTGCGGCACGATTACTCAAAAGGCTACCTCTCCCATCAAGTTATAGAGGAAGAGGACCAAGAATCCTAAAACTCCTGGTTCAGTTGGAGTAGACAGCGACGGAAGTGTTAGAACGTTGGCGAAGATATCGTAAAAGTCTTCCATCTGAGCTGCTGAATCCTTGCGAAGACTAGACATGAGCCTGTCTGAAAAAGCAATCTTACCAGCGATTACGCATGAGCGTCACTTTACTGCTCGGTCACGCGATTCTGCAGCAGGTCCGCACTAGGAATGGGACCTACCTTGGCCAAGTCAATTTGCGAACGACGTGTCATTATCATCCCATCAAAAAAACAAATAACGTCCCACCTCGCACCGGTCGGCATTCTACCACACTTGACTCTGGCTCCTTGTTGGCTCCTAGAGATCAAGAAACTATCCAGCCTTTATACAAATGCTCAAGGCTTTTACAATAAGTTGGCCTAACTGAAAGATCGCCAAATTTAGCCATGCGATATTATCGGTGTCACGGAGACATGGTTGCACACCGGGATGACTGACGCTGAAATCTCACTGCCGGGCATGTCACTCATATGAAACGACAGGTTTACGAAAGGAGGAGGAGTAATTCTGTATTACCGAAGCGACCTACTGTGCGAGGCCGTGAAGGATTCAAATTTGCAGTTTGCCGATTCTCTTTGGTGCCGCCTGCAATTACATAGCAGAGACACCTGCCTTATAGCTTTGGTATACGGCCCCCCAAACTCTACACCGGAAATGAATTGCCAACTTGCGGCAGCTTTAAAGTGCAGCCTAAAGTGAAAGTACACACATCTTTATCATAGGTGATTTCAATGTATACTGTTTAGAAACTCCTGCGGCAATCGGAGAGCAATTCAAAGCAGATCTCCAAGAACTTCTAACCAGTGTTCCACTTTACAATCACGTCATTAGGCTCACACGTTTCAGAACAGGATCTTATTTTCACCAACAAGGAACATATGATTGATGTATTGATCGTAGAATGCCCTTTGGATCGCAGTGATCATGCGGTCATCAGTTTCGACTTCATCTGCTATGCGGAACATCGCAACCAGAAGCCTGAGTTGGTGCGCACCCTTACGCGCTACGACCACTTAGCCCGGCTGGTCAGTGCCACAACTTGGTGGTTTCTCGCTGAAGGCCATCCTGAAGTCGCTTGGTTTGAATTCGTCGGCAAATTCAATCAACTTTTTACGGATACCTCAGAGACAAGGGTTTTCAATTTGCCCAAAACCGTTTCTTTCGTGAGGAGCAGAACTAGAAAAAGGGTGGTTGTACGCAACGCAGCCTTGGGAGAGTACAGATCATCACCAACGCACTCAACTGCTCAGAGATGACAAAGCCGCATATCAGCAGAATATGGCGAAAACATTCAGCGCCAAACACAAACTGCTGTACAAGTATGCCAATACACGTCGTAAGGTGAGACAGGGAATTCCTCCGCCCCGGACGGCTGACGGTCCAGCTAGAATAGCCATAGAAGCAGTAAACGCGTTGCGGACGCAATATGCTTCTACATTTCAGAAGGTCTTACCATTAGGCCATCTTCCAACTTTGGTTTTCCCGCCTCCAGGACTCACCGACATCTCTTACTGCCGAAACTGTTTTGCGGGAGCTGACGTCTGCGCAACCACAGCTCCCTGGGGGTCGACACCATTCGCCCACAGGCATTGGGAGCAGCAGCAAGACAACTGACAACTCCTTTGACACAGTTCTTCCAGCGCTACTTAGATCAGAACCTGATTACTGCGATGTGGAAACTTAGGATACTAACCGATTCACAAAGGCGGTAGCAAGACTGAGCCCTCAAAATACCGCCCAGTGTCCCTTCTCCCTGTATTATCAAAGGTCATGGAATCCATCGTTCCGGATGCCTTAGTGTGTTATCTAGCAAATTGTAACATTATTGCTCCCGAGCAACATGGCTTTCGTCGACAACGATCGTGCACAACGCATTTATTAATCGCGCGGAGTAGTTGGACCGAGTCAGCTGACGCTGCGGAGGCCGTTGATGTGATCTACATGGATTTGTCGAAGACGATCGATTAGATCATCGGGTTCTCCTTTCCAATATGACCCTCTCTTGAGCTGGATCGCCAACTTTCTCCTGCAACGACAATTAGTGGTGATAGTCCGGAATTCCCTATCTGAACCCATACCAGTCGAGTCTGGTGTGCCCCAAGACTCAGTTCTAGGTCCACGGTTGTTTTTGGTATTTAACAATGACCTTGCATGAAATATCGCTTCAACTTTCCTACTGTTTGCTAACGATAGTAAGATACGGCGCAGAATTCAAGCAGATGCCGATCAGAATTTACTTCAGTGTGACCTAGATATGATACATGATTGATCAACCCGAAAACTGTTACAGTTCAATGTGGACAAATGCAAAGTACTCTCCATACGACACCAGAGTACCTATTCCCACAAGCTAGGAACGCAAGTACTGCAGCGGTCATCTGTCTAACGCGACCCTGGCGTTCTTGTTCAGACAAATTGGGTTGTTCCAAGCAATCCTCAAAGACGTCGAAAACTGGTAGCCAGCACGTCGGCTTGCTATAACGTGCGTTCGGACAACTAACCGCTATTTTCTGACAAATGCTGAATGCATATGTTCGAATACATATGTTCGAATGCATATGTCGAATACGCAATCTAAGCCTGGCAGCCATGGATCAAGCACGACCTTACTGCACTGGACCAATCTCAACGTCGGGCTTCTAAATACGTTATTGGAATGTGCCACGTTCCGAAACTGAAACGTTTGGGAGTATTCAGCAGGCAGTATCGCCGACTACGAAGCGACTTGATTATGGCGTATTTGATTTTACAGAATCCAAATCATGTATGCCGCGCTGTACTGCAACTCAACAGTAACACCAAACTTAGAGGCCACTCCTTGAAATTAGCAGAACAGTACAGCTGCCTAGCGTGCCGTAGAAACTTCTTTTCCATTCGTGTGTGTCAACCATGGAATGCTTTTCTCCAATCTGTTGTTTCAGCACCCACGCTAGCCATATTTAAAAGTCGGTTGGATGCCGCACTCCACCACTTACATTTTGTTACTTAACGCTACTTTCCATCCTCTTCCCTGGAAATATCTTGGATTTAATAATTTTTTCGCCTTCTGAAGCTATAGAAACTCTCGGGGTACAGGGCTACTAAATCAAAAGCGATAACTCCACTGTTTTGACAGTAAAAATACTTACTGCTTTGTTCATTAAGGTTTTTCGCTATCCCAGCAGACCACCCAACGGGGTTTGTAAAGCAATCCTTCTTAACCCGTATAAAGTCATTGTTCATTGCGTGTCTGGCTAAGCCACATCCTGATTGTCCAGAAGCGACCATTGCCTTCTGTTTACAAGTCCATTGTTGCTCTGTCGTGCGGCGGATTACAGCTGAGTACATCTGCGATTGAGGACTGCTAGCTCGCCTAGACTGAGGAATCTGCTAATCTGTTTGCATCAATCTTGCGGTGCATCATTTTCAGGACTCTACCCCCAAATAAAAACATGCCAATTTTGGCACAGACCAGCGCATGCTCTGTATCAATGAAGGTAGACCAACATGCCCTGCAGTCGCATGCGTAAAACTAACCAGGATAGAATACTCATAACAACTAGATGCAAGAAACCGAGTGCATGAATGTTACTATTTGCCACCTCGTCAACAATATTACCATTACAAAGTGCTGATATACTGCTGTCGTTTTTGTGGATCTTTTCCAGTTAAGCCCCGCCACCCAAAAAAGATTATGAGAAGGGAGGTGTCTTTGCCTCCAAACGAACTCACACAGCTAGCTGTCCACTAAAGATCGGTGTGTGCCGCATTGGCGCTTATTCTGCATCTTGTAAATGTGCCACAGAGATTCGATGGTTTGTGTGTGAGCTCCAGTCGTTGGATCCACAAAGCTTTCGGTATGATTAACCGTTTGATGAGTATAACTCATGCCAATCATCGATTCAATGCCTTGGTATGATGCCCACATATCGGAAATGGTAATTGAGCCGGGAGCGATGCAGGCCTGGATTGTGTCCAGCAGAGTGGCCGCAGTTCGATCTGGCACTGCATACAAGAACACTTCTTTAGTCTCCCGGTAAATCCCTCCGAAAATCCACTGCTGGGGAAGGACTCGCCCTGCATGGTTTTTACGACGTGATATTAGGGTTTCATCGATCTCGACATGTAGACCTGGGCCGCCGACAATCGTTGGAGTCTGCAAAAGCTGTCAGGCGCAAATTTCACGCAGAAAGATCCTCCAGTCGACAGCGGTCGCGTGGCCAATAGATAACTCCTCTGAGCAGAATTTGATTGTTGTCAGATTTTTGGACCAGCAATAAATGAATAAGATTATTGTCCTGAAATCCATCCTAGACCGCTGCAGCCAAGTTCCCTTTTGAAGACCGATTTCTTGCCGACACTTTCGGGCATCACACCTCAACCTGTCAGAAACAGTTGAAAGTGTCATTTGGTGTCCTCGTCTGCATAAACGTTGATGATGAATCACTCCATGGCTTTGCAAAAAACGTATTGCTGTTTCCTTGTCATGAACGACCGCCGAAAGCGTCAGAAAGTTCATGTCGGGTTTTACGTGCGAAGGTAGAAACGTTTTGGACAAAAATGACCTTAGAAACGGATAAGGAGTGTTTTTATGGGGCACGTTCACATGCATTACGTACACTGGAGCTGGCAAACAGTGGCGGGGCTCAACTTTTCACGCGTGCCCTTTTTGCACTATTGGTGGGGCTTGACTTTTCAGGTGTACCCTTTTTGTCTTAGTGGCGGGGCTTAACTGGAAAGGATCCGTTTTTGTTATTACTGTTGTTCTTCACCCCCGGTTATCTAAAGAAACGCTGCCATTTATCCGTTTTTGTATCGCATGATCCAAATTCTATTCCCAATCCTTAGCAGTGTCTCCTTTCTCCTCTTCTGTCTTAGCCCTTTCGAAAGAACCATTGTGGTGAACAAAAGCAGCTCTGGAGAGATCGGCATCTCCATTGATAGTGGCTTGATCAAGGCGATTCACAAGGATTCCAGCGCCGCTCGCAACGGGGTGCTGGTCGGTCACCAAATTGTGGAAGTGAATGGTCAGAATGTGCTCGGTTTGAAAGATAAACAATTAAAAGAATTGCTCCATCGAACTCCGGATTCCATTCGTTTGACAATCATACCGCAGCCGATTTACAAACACATGGTGAAACAGTGAGTGATTTCAATTTCTTAAGCATGTCCTTTTTCTTTTTTTAAAAGATTCGTGACAACCGGTTCCTACATCAAACAACTCCCCTACACACGAGAAAGCACTGCACGGTCGTTTTTTTTCTTTTGAGCTTTGCCAGCAGCGTGATTATTCCCCGACGCTGCGTGGTGTCGAACCCAAGACGTCTGTGTGTTGTATTCGACTACTTACTCTGCCCAGCCACTAGCGATGGTGTCAAATTGCCATGACTGTCTATTGACTGCAACACAGCGAATCAACCGCTGGCCGGAAGGATTACACGCCCGCTTTGTAACTTGAAGGTCATCGGTTCGAATCCACGTAACTGTGATTGGCCTAGCAGTATACCCAGCCCACGAGCGACCGATGTGGGTCGCGTGGCAGCGAAGCGTCGGTACGATGTATCGGCGTATTACTGGTACCTTTAATGTCATCCATCACTCCCATGCATGTTCTGGCATGTAGCGAATGCGGTTGGCCTCCAGAGTTACGACCTCTCTTGCAAACCATCAATCGTGGTGGCATTTAAGCCGCCAGAACGAATCCTAATTGCTGAAAAGCACTGGGGTTGGTGTAATTCCACTTGCGATTTGTCACATTCAGTTACAAATCAGGGAGCCTCCTACACATCCGGAAACACGCTAAGCAGCTTTTCCGTCTTGTTGTGATTCCACTGCATCTCGATCATTTTCTTGATCTGACCCGGGTTGAACCCACGATTTTTGTTTGTCGTAGTCAATGGCGTACACCATAGTGGGGCAGACGGTTGATTGACACCCAATCAACATAGATGTTCTAGATTCATTTGGCGACGTTACACAGTTCCAGAGGATTTGCTACCAAACAACGTGCCTCGGTTGTCAAACAGCTAATTTTGGACGTTCCCGGCGCGCAGTTGTCATGTCTCCAATCCCTGAATTAACGCCGGTCACCCTGCATCGTCGTAGCCAATCGCTTCGTAAAACACTTCTTACATCGATGCTTCAGGTTTTAAAAAGTCACATGAGCTTTGCCGGCATGCGCGGCTTATTTGACCATCAGGAGGTGATGCAACTAACTATGTAAACCGAATAACGACTTTCACTGCTTAATCTATGTTGACGGGGATAAGGTGCAAATCACCGGTCTCTAATGAAATTTGTTTGAGTTAGCTCTTTCTCTGCTTCAGGTCTATTTCGAGGTCTCGCGTACTTAAATCGTAACGTCAAATTACAAACCGCTGTGTCAAGCGCTGTTTGCCGAGCTCGCTGATTAAGGCATCGACCTTGGCATCCTCGAGATCGACCACATCTGTCGGTACCGACCATATCTTATGTTGCATGATCGTCAATTTAGTGGCGTTCTTGCGTTCGAGCTTTCAGTGATGTTTTCTAATTTGTTAAGATTAGGAGACACCTCTGATGAGAATTTGAGCCTAACACGATTGTCACTGGCACTGTTTGAGCACGCCTACGATAACGGCTTTGGAACGCTGGCCGATCGAACGGATTTGCGCTAACGTGCTGGCGTTAGCTTAGCCGGGGTACGTGCTGGTGAGGCCGAAATCGCGCTAGCGTGAGAACATTCCTAGCCACACGTATTCGGGTAGACACTGAGCCCTCGTAACGGACGAGGCTACGCACACGAAAGGGTGTGACGGTAGACGCGCGCTAGTGTCTTAGACACGAACGCTGCCCGGCTATCGACGCACACAAAAATCACGTGACCGAACCGACTCCCAGCTGACGGCGAAGAGAAAGCAAGACAACTGGTACTCTGAAAGCTCTTTTACGACCAACAAAGGGCACACACACACTATACACGTTAGCTAGATGTGGGAAACACCTCAGCTACTATGTCGCAATACTCAAAAAAAGGGAATAACATGCAACAGGTGCAAGGCAGCTGAGCTACCGTTAATGGATGGGCATCTTTCCGGTTAGCTATCTGTCGGTTACTATGCAACAGAACAAGAAATAATTTCCTATGCGAAATTATAAAATGCTAACTAATCAGATCATGGTTGGAGGGGAAGGCTAAGAGGGATGGGGTGGGACAAAGAAACTCACAGCACGCACGCCACTGAGGTCGGCTTCTAGCCATATCAACAAGTGTATCCAGCCAAACGTGTTCATCGTCTTTCGAACCCCAACCAGGAAGCCGAAATGCTACAATTGAGGCCAGCTTTGAAGTGAGAGCCTTCACTCCTCTCGACCAAGTCATCGCTTGGCCACCTCTTCTTCCATCCACACTCGCGGCGCGCAAACAACGCATGTCGCGGGAGTCGGTGGGCTGGCATGCGTAACACGTGGCTGAGCGATCGGAGCCTGGTGTGTGAAATAACGGTGCTGAGCGGTTCAGTTCCTTTTCGTGTGCCGTAAACAAGGCGTAGAACACGTTCGTTGCTCACGCGATGTTCTCACCAGATGTGAGCTAAATTGCGAAGGCACCGGTGGTCGAACGTAACTAGCCTCTCCAGGTCTGCTGATCTAAGGGCCAGGTTTCGCAACCGTACAGTAGAGTCGAACGCACTGCTGCATTGCACACTCTACCCTTCAGGGCGAGAGTGATGTCGCGCCGGCGCCATAAGTGGCGAAGGATAGAAAAAGCGCCTCGAGGTTTTGCTATACGGTTCGTGATCTCATCTTCAATCCCATGGGCACTGTTACAACTTCCCAGATAGTTGAATTTTTGAACGACTTCTAACTGATCCCCACCGAGGATCAGCGAAAATGGCCGTTCAGACCAATCTTGGAGGAACGCTTTACACTTCGATGGTGCAAAGCAAAGCCCGAAGCGGCTGACAGCCATTGCCAATCTGTCCAGTGCTTCTTGGCATGTCTGGGAGCTGTCACAGATGAGGGCAATATCGTCAGCATACTCCAAGTCAAGCAGTTGTTCTCCTGGGAGCAGATCCACACCTTCTAACTCGTGTCATGTGAACGCGATTTCCATGCCTTCGTCAACAGTGAAGTTGAAGAGGAAAGGTGACAGTGTGCATTCTTGTCTCACACCGCTGGAGATATTAATAGGCGACGACAGCTTGCCGTATGCCTTCACTCTGCCCGAGCTACGCGCGTATAATGCTCGGATAATATTTACATATTTCTCAGGTACACCTTTCCTGAGTAGACAGTCCCAAAGTGCAAGTCTACCCAATGAATCGAGTGCACATTGATATCGAGGAACATGATGACGTTTGGCCGCCAATATATGTGACGGTGCTCCAACAACTGACGCAAAGTGAAGAAGTTGTCAATGCAGCCACAACCTCGAAGAAATCCATCTTGCTCTTCACGAATATGGCTTTCACGAGTACCAGTCAGTCTGTGAAGGATGACAGAGGCAAGCAATTTGGAGGCGATGGAGATCAGACTGATTCCCGAGGGTTGCCACATTCCGATCGTGAGTCTCCTTTGAAAATTGCGACTATGACGGAGCGGTGCAAATCGGTTGTGACTGTTTCCTGCTCCCACAATTTCACTAGTAACTCGTATAAATCATCCACAAGAGCAGGTCCCCCGAATTTAAAGAGGGATGGTCCCGCGGGTTTATTTGACTTCCACAGTGTGATCTCACGTTCGGGTGGATCCAGAGGGACAGCCCACGGAGCGGGGCGATCAGTGGCCAGCGAGAAATCTAACAATTCCGGCCGATTAAATTGCCTTCCAAAATGCTCAGCCCAACGCTTCCAGTGTTTTGACAAGTTGTGCATGGGCTTTCCACCCTCTTCACGTCTAGTTTCACTAACACCAGGTCTGCTGCTGCCCGTTTTCCCTATCAGACGGAATAACTTACGATGGTTGCCAAGGGCAGCGGCCACTTCCATATCTGACGCACGATGAGACCACCGGGATTCGCGGTCTCTCTTCAGGCTAGCACGGAGTTTTGCCCGGAGCTCTTTGCGAGTTTCATTGTGTTCGCTTCCAGCCGGAATATGCCGGCGAGTATCGATAAGTTTCAGAGACTGCGAAGAGACCCAATGTCCATGTTGGCGATTAGACTTACCACACGAGAATTTTCCTGCTGCTAGTAAAAATCGGTGAATGTAAGGCCAGTGAGCTTCAACTGCATTTAGTGAGCGCTTACTCGAGTTTCATGACAGCGTACTTTGATAGGCATTCCGAACAGCTTGTTTCGCCAGTTGGCTGGTGTCAACGCGCTCACAACGTCGTTTTGGGCGTATGCCAAAACGCTTCCGCAGGTCAGCACATACAACTGCATGATCAGTGTCCACTCCTGTGCCCCAAATCGAGCGACAGTTCTGGACGCAGCCTCTCCTTGGGTGACTTATCGCAATGTGATCGATTTGCGTCCACAGCTGATTCGAGGTTGGTGGGCGCCAAGGCAAACTCCGGCGGGTGCTGTGTCGGAAATTAGTGCTCGCAAGAAATAAGCGAGTATCTTCACGTAAATGAAGTAACCGCTCACCGTTTTCATTACTTGAGCCCACACCATGTCGCCCAGATGGAGTTCGTCAGTGGATAATTTTCAACTTGAGCATTCAGATCCCCGGCCAGCACTACAGTGTCCGAGTTTCTTCTCTGGCGACGCTCGTTCAATTGGCGAATCATCGCTACAGTTTGTGGGTGCGTAGACAGCCATGACGAATAGACACCTGTTAGTCCCGCGCGACTTCGAATTTTGAACGAGCAAGCCAATCGGACCGCACACATCCGGCTACTGATTGGAATCCAGTCAACCAGAGCAGCTTCAGCCCGGGGACTCAGGGCGATACCAACGTCGGCTTGGCCGGTGCTCGAAGCTGCATCGTCGCCGGATAGGCGCAATGAGGAAGTGCTGCTGGTATCACCTGAAGGAGATTGTAAAGTCAGCACAGAGCTCGAGTCTTGCAGGGGGGTCTCCGGTAAGCAGCAGATATCGATCGAGAGGATCTCTAATGTTCGGGCAAGTGCTGCGTGTTGACCGATCTGTAGTAATGCGCGTACATTGAGGAATACCAATCTGAAGCATGATCGAATGCTCGAAATGGAAGTCGATGAAC